CCCCCACCCGCCCCGCGTCCTCGCTCTCGCCCTCGCCCTCGTCGTCCCTGTCCCTCCCGACGACTGCGCCCCGACCTCTCCGCCCCCCCCGGGTAACCCTAAGTGCCCCCCCTCCGCCGCCCCGTCCGGTACCCTCTCCCTTAACCGCCTACTACGTAACCCTAACGCCGCCCGCCCCGGCCGCGTCACGTAATACTATCCCCCGCCCCCTCCGCCCTCCTTACGATCCCGCACCCGCTACCTACGCCGGACCGACTATCTATCGCCGCCCGTGGCCCCCTCGTCCCGCCGCCATGCGCCGTAGACTTAGCCCGTACGACACCCGCGGGGAGGGGGGGCTCGGCTGAGGCTCTAGCTGGTCTCTGGACTGGATCTACTGGGCTCCAGCACCTACCTACTACCCGTAGCGCATACCCCCGCCTCTATAACCCTCTTATCTACCTATCGCTCCGCTAACCTGACGTGTGGAATGGATCCATCACACCTCCTACCTCCTATCCCTCCCCCCCCCCCCTCCTCCGTCGGTGGAATGGATCCATTCTATATCCTACCTCGATTTCTCCAGTACGTCTGTGGAATGGATCCATTCTACGTCCCGTCTTCTTTCTTTCCGGTACGGCTGTGGAATGGATCCATTTTACGTCCCGTCTCCTTTCTTTCTAGTACGGCTGTAGAATGGATCCATTCTACGTCCCGTCTCCTCTTCTCTAGTACGGCTGTGGAATGGATCTATTCTATGTCCCTCCTCTCATTCCCTCCTCGTGCTCGCCCCGCTATTACTAGTAATGTATCTATTCGATCTACCTCGAGACTGCTTATCGTCGTCTACGTTAACCTTTCGTCTCCGCCCCCCCATCACTAACGGTATGTCTAACCTAGCCCCGGCCGGTAGGTATAAAAAAAAACGTGGAAAACAGAAAAAAAATTCCCGCCCCGAGAGGTAAGACTCCCTACGCCCTCTCCTAGCTCGACCGTCGAATCTGCTTAATGTGCCTCCGTAGTTCTAGTACTCTATATACATATGCTCCGTACGCTCGTGTCTGCCGTATCTACGCTCGATGCTCCTACCTCGATGCTCCCGGTTCTATACTCTAGCCCCTAAATCCCTTACTGATTACTGTATGTAGTATGCTGAAGATTACATATTGAATGTCGTATACTGACGATTACATACTGAATGTCGCATGCTAAAAGGTATATACTAAATGGTTTACGCCGAAGATTACATGCTAAAAGGTGCATCCTAAAGATGGTATGCTGAAAGGTGTATGCTCTATACTTACGCCGACCCCCATTAAATAAATGGATCCTCTACCCCGTCGACCTGCTTATGCACTATCTCCTCTATACTGCTGGGTGGCGCCCCCTAGCCCTCGTTCCTCGCGCCGCCTGACGCCGTGTCCGTATCTAAGTCCTCCGGGAGCGCTACTAGAGGCCGTCCGCGATCGACTAACTCGCTATACGGCGTGCCGGGGCTGTCACTAATCTTCTTCGCCTCGTCCGCGTCCGTGTCGTCCTCGGCCGCGCTATCCTTGTCGCTATATATACTACCGTCGACTACCGTAGTCTCACTACCTTCACTGAATAGCTTAATCGGGGCGTCCGGGGTCGTAGTGTCGGTCGGCCCGCCGCTCTCGCCGTCTTCCTCGCGAATTTCGCCGTCTTCCTCGCGAATTTCGCCATCTTCGACGTCGTTAGGATCGTCATCGTCGGTCTAGTCGTCGTCGGTACCTAAGGCGGCGTCGTCCTCGAGGGCGGTGCGCGGGGGGAGGCCGCATCGCCGGCGTATGTCTTCGAGCCCTAAGTTACCGTACTTAAATTACTACCTAGGTACGATCGCTGGAGGCGCTACGGGGTCCTACGTCGTCTTGTCCTACTACGTATCGTCGTCGGGTCGGTATAGGAGGCCAGACTCGGGGTCGACGATTATACCGCTACTGAGGTGTTCGACTTACGTCGATACTTCGTCGATCTACTCCTCCGTACGCGCGCTGCGGAATCGGTTTAGCCGGGGGACGTATTCTATATCCTCTACCCGCCAGTCCCTCGTAACCCCGCGCTTAACTAGCGTATTAAGTCCGATAGAGTAGTCGACCGTACTAGTAAGACCGGGTCGAGTACGAGAGGGCGTACTAGGTGGGGGGCGATCTGGAGAAACCGGGAGGGTTAGCGAGCGTACGGATAAGGGGGGTAGGCCGTGGAATGGATCCGTTAGGGGGCGCGGCCGAATGGATCTATCCTACGGACCGTCCAGATAAGACTTACCGGGTAGGGTGATGATAGGGTTACGTTCGCCGGCCGTAGTAGCCGTGAACAGCCGATCGTGCGCGTGGTGGCGGCGATGGGGTGTGTCGGCCAGCGCCGCGGCGGTGTGAGGCGCGTGGAGATCCATCGTCCGCCAGTGTAGGCGGCTGTAGCGCTGACCCAGCTGGCGGCGAATGTACTCTTCGGCTTGCGCTATAAATAGGTCGTCCCGCGCCGCTTTCACCACCTAGTAGGCCTCGGCCGGGTCCATATCGTTCGACGCCGTAAACATCCGCTCGCGGTCGAGGGTCGAGATCTGCGTTTCTATGCGCGCCTCCCCGGCGAGTTAGCTTATCATCTTGGCCGTAGCGTTAGAGTACAGCTACTAGTCGTACGTACCTAATACGTATACGGTCTAGATGAACTAGACGTATTCTTAACCTAGGCGGTAGACGCGGCCGATGGATTAGGTTACGGTAGGGATGTTCTCGGGTATGTCGAAAATCACGAGCTTATAGTACGCCCCTTAGATGTTAAGGCCGAGCGAGGACGACCGGCTGTTTAGCAACAGGAAGAGCACGTCGTCCTCCGGGTCGTTCTACTTAGCTAGGATCGAGCTACGCGCCGCCGCCGTAGTACTAGGCCAGATGATATAGTATTTCACCCCTAGGTTATGTAAGAAACTGTCCGGTCTCCACTAGGTATATAGCTAATTCATCATGAATACGACTTTACCCGTAAAGTAGCCCGCTTCGTCGCCCTACATCGCCATATATACGTATTTAGCTAGGTACCGTAACTTCGCGGATTCCCCGGCCTGGTAGGCGTATACGCCCAGCCGGTCGCAGTAGTTAGGGATAGTCGGGGAGGGGCGGGTAGCTAGAAAGTACTCGGTAAAGCCGTAGTCGTCCGTGTTCTCGGTCCAGTCGCGCGCCTACGCCGTACCCTTCAGGCCCTTCTTACGAAGTATCAGCGTGTTCATCCGCCCGTCGAAGGTAGTCAGGTAGAGGTAGCGGTAGATGGCCATGTCGCGCAGCCCGGACGGCGCGATGCCCGGTTTCTTACTCGGTTTGGCGGCCGCCGTACCCCCTTTAGTAAGGTAGCGGGAAAAGGTCGACTAGACTTTCTTATACTCGTCCTCTTCGTACGCGCGCTGTCGCAGTTCCACGCCCGTAATGTAGTATATGGGTACGTTAATCCCCGGTTAGTAGTAGTCGTGGCCTTCCAGCTAGATCTAGGACGCTATAGTCTAGCGGAGCTGGATGAGACCTAAAATAGTGCGGAGTACGTTATACGCGGTCGTAGCACTCTCTAGCTTACCGTTATTAATGAGCGAGGCGAATAGGCGGGGGTTAAGCACGAATAGGGGCTAGTCGTAGTACTTCGCTATATACCCAGGACATTTATCCTTAACGTCGGTAATGACCAGGGACGAGTAGATTTTTTCGGCCTAGGTAGGCAGGATGAAGTCGTCTAGGTCCCGGAGGTCCGTCTCCTAGGCCGGGTTCTAGAGGAGGTACAGGTACTCTAGGAGGTCCGACACCCGGTTTACTATAGGCGTAGCGGTAATGAACCACTTCTTAAGCGCGTACAGTTTCTCGATGGCGATCGCGTTCATCGTCTTAGGGTTCTTAACCTTATAGGCTTCGTCGTAGACGACCCGATAGAAGAGGCCGGTAAAGAGGGACGTATACACCGTATAGTCGTCCGATTCCTCGCGTAAGCCGGCGTCATCTTCCTCGGGGGGAAGGTCCGCGGTGGCCTATTCATCAAAATGGACATCGTCGTCGAGCTGGCGAGTAAGCCGGCGAATGCGCCTTAAATCGGCGTCCTTAAGCGTAATGTCCTTAAGGCTAGGTAGGTACTGCGACCGTACCGTACTAGTAGTAGCGTTAACGTCGCCGGGTAGAGTATTAATGGAGTCATCATCTATAGGGAAGACGCGGGGGCGGTTAGTAGATGGTCTCTAGAATGGATCCGCGGGGAGGCGGCGTCGAATGGATCTATACTATAGACCGTCAGGATGTAGGGGGCGGGGTAGTACTTACCTCTCTCGGGTTAGCCGGTAGTGGTACGAAACTTATCTTCGATGGACTTCTTAATGCTGGTTAGGGTGCGCTTGATATACGTCTCGTACGCCATCTAGACGATGCCGAAGGCGGATATGGGGTCGTCGGCCGGGAAAGCCTATTCGATCGCGTCCCGCGCGGCTAGGGGGTTAGAGGGAAGTATGATGGCGTGAAGGTCTTCCTCGATGTCGGTACTTAGAGTACGGTCGGTGCCGTAGAAGATACGGAGGTCGAGGACCGGACGGCTACTCTTACTACGCTAATGTTTACGGTATTCCGTATACTACGAGTCTAACGTAGTCGGCGGCGCTACGACTAGGGTCGGTCGAAAGTCGACTTTAGGGGGTTTCGGTAGCGGGCGGCCGTGCGTAATGGCGTCGTCGCGCCGCTCCAGGTACTCCTACTAAATGCCTAGTTTCTTCATGGCCGCGTGGTAGATGTAGGCGTAGCACTAGGAGGTCTTACCGAGTCCGTAGTCCTTGGCGACCAGGCCGCTACCGTAGGGGTACTCTTCCATGTCCATCTGCCATGCCGTACCGATGACCTGGTAGTATTTGGGGTAAAAGGGCGTAGGGTCGGTTTTATCGGTAGGCGGAGTGTAGATGCCCTTATCTAACTTACGGTAGTCGGGGTCGATGCCTAAGATCTAGGCCGCCTCGCGATAGCCTTTGACCGGCGTATAGACTATCGACGTCTTCGCCCGTAGGTCCTAAAACTCCTTCTCGGTAGGGTATAGGACGGCGGGTTTCATCGGGTCTTAGTACTTCTCGGGGGCGACGCGCTCGGCTATAGAGAGGTCCTTACTCTACTAGGTAGAGTCTCCCGGTAAGGTCGTAGTGAACGAGTCGTGGATAATGTCACATTAGTCGATCAGCGATAGTAAGAAGTACTTAAGTATTTCTTCGTCTAGTAGAGGTCGAACTACGCGGTCGGTCGCGCCCTAGAAAGAAGGTAGTTAGTGACGTAACGTACTAACGAGTAAAAGGGGGCCGTAGAATAGATCCTCTCGACTAGTTAGTGACAGTCTAGGCGAATAGGCCGTAGAATGGATCTAGTAGTTAGGATATCCAGCGGATCCATTCCACGGCCCGTTAGCCGGGTAATCTAGAGTTAAGCGAACGGATCTATACTATAGACGAGTGAAACTCACCTTCTTCTTAGATGACTTAAAGAGTCGCTCGATGTTACGAGCGATGTAGTCGTTATCATCGGCTAATTAATCTAAGGTCTCATCTTTAAGGATGAGAGTAGCTATATTGATCCGTTCTACCTTATCGTACTCGGGGTATTCCTTATCCCCCTATAAGAGAGTGACTTAGTCTTTAAGGTTCTATACGTCCTAGGCTTTAGCCGCGGTAGCCGGGTCGATGGATATACGGGCGAATTCCTTATCGGTTAAGTAGCGCACCGGGGCCGCCGTCTTATTACCGAAGATAGGTAGAGTCTGTTTTTCGTAATACCCGACCGCGAACCGCAGTAGGACGAAGGCGCGATGGAAGTCCTCGGCGGTAGCGAATCCCCATCGGATCTATCCGGGCTTCGCCTTATTAAAGGACTTCTTAAAGAGGCCGCGGCATTTCTTGATGATCTTATACGTCTAGGCTACGTAGACGGCCTTAGGGAAGATGCTCTTATTCTTCTTAGTCGGGCCTACGAATTTAGCGAAGTAGGGGTCCTCGAGGGATAGAGGTTCCGTAACGCTAACATCGGCCAGTTATCTCCAGCTATAAGGGGCCTTATCGCCTTTAGCGATTTCTTTAATAATCTTATCGTAGGCGAACGTAGACGTAGCGACTACGCCGGGTACACTAAAGCTCACCCGCTTATATTTTAGGAAGGATTAGATGGTAGGTTTTAAGGCCTCGACTACCCGGTCGAGCTCTTAGGTATTAGGTAAGCCTAGGTACCCGGCGATGTAGGCCTAGTTACGCTATAGTTTTCGCTCGGGCTCGATAATCCGATACTAATAGAAATTGTAGGCTATAGCGGCGATCGCGGTCGCGCGGTCCGTAAAGCCGAAGTCCTCCACCGTCTTCTTATCCTGTACTTTCTGTTGCTTCCTAGCGTTGCGGGCGATGGCCTTATCGCGAGCTATCTTAGGGTCTAGGTCGAGGCCGCTGTCCGATTCGCCCTCGGAGTCTTCGATATATACGGCGGACTTAGCCTCGGACTGTCGCTACTTACCCTTATCCGTAGCCTTCGATACTGGTGCCGGGGATTACGCTTCGCTATCGTCCGCGCCGGTAAGGTCTATATAACTAGTGCTCTTAGTCGTACTCTTCGTAGTACTCTTCTTAGTCGTGCTCTTTAGGGGGCTCTCTTAGTTAGATAGGTTAGACTAGTCAGTGGCTTCTTCGGTATTTTTCAGTCGTTCTTGTAACTCTTCTAGGGTAGCCTTAGTGTTTTTGTACTTCTCCTTAAGCTGAGCGGCGCGGTCTTTATTGCCTTTAGTTCTTAGTAGGTCTTCATACGCTTTCTTGATTCTAGTAACCTTCTACTCGATATATACGACGCGTACCTCCAGCGCGGTCTTTAATTCGGTCTTAGAGCGCTTCGTAGGTTCCGCCTCGGAGGAGCTGGAGGTCCCGGATTAGCGCTTACGGCGGGGTACTATAGTGACGATAGGGTTTTCAGTTCCTATAAGTAGCTCGAGTTAGTTAAAATGGTCTATAGGTTAGATCTAATGATTTAAGGGGCGCGGGATAGACGCTAATTAAATGGGCCGTGGAATAGATCTATTCTATAGCCCATTATATACTAGTCGCACGGTAAAATAAAAAAACGAGAGATGGTACGTAGATCCAGTCCCTAGGCCGTTATAGGTTAGGAGGCGTCGATCTTAGAAATCTAATAGATCTATTCTATAGACCGTTACGAGTGAAAAGGGATAGAATATAGAACTTCTACGGATCCTCTTCCCTACTAGTACTAAATTAATATAAAAAAGGGTCAGGATGAGATCTTGAAAGGGTCTTATGAATGGTCGAAGTTATAGAAACCTAGTAAGGTGCGATATGGAATGGAACTACCTCGCTGCCAGTACTAAACTAACAAAAAAAAAAGGTTAAAAAAGGAGATCCTCGATGAATCTCTTAAGGTTTTAAAATCGCGGAAGCCTGGTAAAAGGCGGTAAGGAATGGATCTACTAGGGTAGTTAGTAGACTAGGGAAGAGAAGACATTAGCTATAGAATGGATCTACTAGAGGCTGGAGGTAGGTAGTAGATGAGAGAGGGAGAGGGTAAATAGACTATAGATTAGATCTAGTAAGCTAAATACTAACCTCTAGGTGAGATTTTAGCCGCTGTCACATAGAATCTGTCGCCGGCGCGCGAATCTGGCGTCGCTGGCGCCAAAAAGGGCGTCTCGGCTAGGCTACGGTCAGGTAGAGCCTGTACTAGACTCTCTTAATGGATTGGATAGCGTTTATACAGGAAAATAGAGCGATTTGGATGAAGTTGAGAAGGGTTATCCTGGGAAAGTGTAAGAGGAGAGAAGAGAGATTGAAAAGTAGGAGATAGATTCGCGACGGCGAAAGACGCTAAGTATTATCGATAACTAGGTAGGTGAGGTAGAGGTGAATTCTACCATACCCTAGAGCGAGATAGATCCAGTCTATAGATCACCTGACTATAACTGAAGAGGTGACAAGCTATTAGATCCATTCTACAGCCTATTTACTCTAACTCTACGAGGTCTTATAAGCCGATACTAGGACTTCCTAAGTCAGACATTCAGTCCATTATGTAAGCTCTAGTCAGTAGAGGCCGACTTAGATAGGTCTTATATAATTAAGCCGTACTATAGAATAATAGACGTATATCATACCCTAATTGACACTAACGGCTAATCTTTAATGCGCGAGCCTCGGAGGCGGAGACGTCTAGGATATATAAAGAGGATACGTCTATGATTAACGAATCAGCGCGGACTAGGGGAATATAGGGAAATTCTAGGGTAAATTATAGGTCTACGGGTACCCGACCCCGGATTCTACCTACTACTAGTACTACTATCCCTTCTACTAGACTAGTTAGGTAGTACTGGATGTAAGTACGTTCGCGATGGCGTCGTATACGGGTCGTCGACGGTAAGTTATGTCGCGGTCCTCAACTAATATAGATTTCGGTGTATACTATTAGACATCCTCGATCGCGGCGCCATCGAAGCCTCTAAGCTTACTACTTATAAGAAGTCCACCATCTTATCCCGCGAGATCTAAGTATCCGTTAGATTAATCCTACCAGGTGAACTTACTAGGTATACTATACCTAAGGGCACTAAGACCGTCACCTAATACTCTTCTTAAAGTAAGTAATGGCTTCCTACCGGAACTTACTAGGCACGCCGTGTCAGAGGGTACTAAGGCCGTCACCTAATACTCTTCTTAAAGTAAGTAATAGGTTTCTATATTTACGGGGATGGTAGATCCTGTACGGACGCGCGTGTTTTCTACAAACGGGGTAGTAGGTATAAACGGAATAACGGTATAGAAATGGGTTTTAGATCAACACCGGGCGAGGCGTTATAGGAATCGGGGCGAGTGATAATGTGATGGGCGGTTTACGGTCGCGCTTACTTACTAATAGTATCCATCCTCGATAGGTCGCGGCCGAGATAAGCTTTCGCGAAATGGATAAGATCTACGGCGCGGAAGCCGGAAGTTTCAGAGGTTCAGGTTTAGCTAGATGGGTAAGATATAGGAATAAAAGGTAGGAAATTAAATTAGCGGTAGGGTCTCGGTAATCGTAGTGTCGCCTCTATAGCGTATATAGCCTCGAGGTATAGAACGACGAGGGTCGGGATCCGGACCGGCTTACGATACGGGTAGTTACGGTAGATAGGCTGTAGAATGGATCTAAGGGGAAGGGGGGGAGAGATACGCAGCGGATCCATTCTATAGCCTATTCTTACCGCCGCCCGGAGATGATGTATAGATAGACGTAGAGAGAGGGAGGGGTAGAACGAATCGTAGATGATTATGATTCGTATATATACATGATGCTAGAGCGTCCCCCGGTGAGGGTACGTCCTCGGCGGTTACTCCGTCTCAGTGATACGGCGTACCTATATATCGACCTACTCGGACTATTAGGTCGGTATCCAGGAAATCCACTCTAGGAGGTCGGCCGTCCATCCTAGGCGGTAGAGCTAGTACGTCCGTTTATTACGGGCCCCGAGCTATACCTACTTATCGGGTTCGACGCGATGGAGGATGTCGGGCGTAGGTATAGTATCGAAATCGGCGGCTACGAGGTCGATAGAGTACTACATACGCGCACTCTATTTAGTCTTCTAGGTTAGTCCGTTCCGGTAGGGGTAGGGTAGGAGCCAGTACTACTTGAAGAGGTACCGGATGTACGTGCGCGTAAAGTACCGGCGGTGATAGTTCGCGGCGAAGGGGGCGTAGGAGAGTCGAGTATACGCGCGGCGGTAGAGGGTGCGGTAGGGCTTCTAGTCCTAGTGGAGCCGGACGAACTCGTCGTCCCAGTCGAAGAGGTACTATACGAGTCGGCGGGGGTCCTTAAAGTCGGATTTATTACCGGTGACGGTATAGATGCGCTTAGTCGATATGATGCGGCGAAAGTATTCGTAGTAGAAGGGGCCCGAGCTCTATAGGGCCTCCTCGACGTAGTCGGGGAGGATGTCGTACTCGACCGTATAGAGGGTGTCGATCCGAAACTACTCGAGGTAGATGTATACCGTCCACTAGAGGAGACGCTGGGCGATGAAGACGTAGTCGACGTATTCCTCGAGGAGACGGAGGGCGAGGTCGAGTCGCCGCTCGTAGTCGAAGAAGTCACGGACGGCACCACCGCGGCGGACGTATAGGTCTCGCAGGGCCGAGTTACTAAAGGTCACGAGGTCGGTGATGTCCCGGTGGAATTCGAGGCGGGTCTAGTCGATCCGCGGCTCGACCCAGTAGAATCCGTAGCGGGGAAGGGTATAATAGAATCCGAGGCCGACCTAGCTACGGCGGTGGTCCGTATCCAGGTCGCCGACGTCGACGCGCGATTCGCGCCGGGGGAGGTCCCGTCGCCCCTACTAGAGGGCGGGTTCCCGGGAGAGCTACTACCCGCCGAGGGCGAAGTGAAGATAGCGTAGGAACATGGCCATCATCTTAGTCTACTCCTACGTAGTCGCGTAGGGGAGCGCGCGGGCGTAGACGAGCTCGAAGCCGAGGGCGAACCGGTTAATGTAGTGGCGGAGGAAGCGAAAGTAGGTCGGCGTAGGGATCGTCCAGACGTACGGAGGGTGGCCTCGAGGGGGCCGCGGGCGCGTCGCGGGCGGGAGGTACGTATAGAGGATGTCCATCATGGCGACCGCGTACGCGTAGGTGATGCGCGCCTCTTGCCGGATGCCGTAGTATTTACGGCGGTTATCGTATAGGTTAACGCGGGCGCGGTACCGACTCTACGTATACGCCCGGCGTAGGACACGCCGCTCGCGGGGACGCCCCCCGGCTAGGGTACGGGCGGTGTCACTAACTAAGGGGTCGACCGCCAGCTCCTTAACGGCGTCGTTATCGAAGGGCATACGCTTATTAGCGTCAAACACCTCCTTAACCGAGTTATAGTTCTAGATGTAGCGAATACCCCCCCGGTAGAGCCGCAACCGTTTAGGGGGGATACTCGTGACGGAGACGGCGTCGCGGAGTATAGACTGCGTATAGAACCGAGTACCCGACCCCTAGTGCGACGGGGTCTTACGTTCTTCCTAGTAGAGCTAGCGGATGTACGACTCGAGGTAACACCGCCGCTATAGGTACGTCGTAGGGGTAGGGGAGATACTCGAGTCGGTCGAGGCCCGGGGAATATAGATCTCTTGCCCGAGGTCGAGGTATAGCTAGTCCTCGTCGATGTACTCCCATTATAGGACTCCCTAGATCTAAGTATTCCACTCTTAGAGGGCGTCGAGGACGCTCGTAGTGTCACTAGAGCGACTCTTAAAGGCGAGCTTAGTCCCTTTAGTACTAAAGAAGATCTAGGGGTCGCGAAAGTTATGGAGGCCGGGCTATAACTCGATCAACTCGAGGATAGCCGACTAGAGGGGTACGAGGAGGTAGGCTTAGAGGGTATGGTAGATAGCCTAGGTACTCTAGTAGCTGCTAGTAGTGACCTTACGCCCTTCGACCTACGCCGCGACCGAGTTAGCCTGTACCTGCCGGAGAGACCCAGGGATGTACTGGAGGATGTACGCGGGGGCAATGGATGTGAGGGCCGGGAGGAAGATACGGTCGAACCAGCGGTGTAACTACTGCTACTTTAATCCGATAAATTCCCCGTCGACCGGGAGGTGCGGGAAGAGGAAGTAGACCTCGATATCGCGAGCGTTAAAGAGGCGCCCGGCGAAGAAGTGAGGGATGTCGCGGAGGAGGGTAGCGGTAGCCCGGAGGCGTAGAGGGTCACCCTCGTCCTCGTCTCGGTCCTCCTCCCGAGGTAGGACGGGAACCTCGCGGTACGAGGTACTGGTGATGTAGACGTCGGTCGTGATATTCCGGTATACGCGTAGTGCGAGCTCGACGTTTAACCCGCCCCGGGCGAACGCGAGTAACGTCGCGAACCCGAGGAAGCTATCGATGTCGGATGAGACCTCGGGATCCGTAGGGGGGGTAGTGTACATGTAGAGGTAGATATATCGCGGGAAGGGTTAATGAGGACCAGTACCGTAGATAGCTTCTTCCCATTATACCGCCGAGGGTGTAAAATCGCCCTACGCCTAGTCACGAGTCAGGAGCTGGTCGATGTCGTAGTCTAGCCGAATGACCGAGGGGAAATGGGCGCGTGGGAAATAAGAGAGTAGATCGTAGTGTTTCTAGTCTCCGACGGCCTCCTCGTACTACTGGAGGAGAGAGGCGTATTTCTCGACCGTATATCCGTAGTGCCCTTTAAAATGGAACTAGGCTAGGAGCTTCTCGGCGGTAAAGGTCACGTAGTCTTACTCGTCATCATCGCTCTCGAGTCTAATACTATAAAGACTATCCTCGTCCGGGATATCCTCCTCTTAACTAGCTACCTCTTACTCGGATTAGAGTCCTTCTACGTCGTTAGAGTCGAGTAACTCGGAGGGGGTCTAGGAAGGAGGGTCAATAAGTTTAGGGGGGGTCGACGCGTCTAAGTCGAAGAGTTCGGGGGGGGTATCTCCGAAGATATATCGAGATTATCGCGGCGTACGGTATACTCTCGGTACGGGGAGTAGGGATGAAACTCTAGCCGATGTACGTATCGTAATTAGGCTGGAGATAATCGGAGAGTCTATATTAACTCTAGCCGAAGTATATACGGACGGTATACCTTAAGAGGACGACGACGGTAGGAGAGGGTGGATTACGGCCGTAGTTTTAATAGATACTAGCGACGCGGGCGAGTAGCTTGAGAAGTAAGTAGAGGTATAGGCTCTCGCGTGAGTCGTAGTTAAGTGTAGAGGTACCCCTATAGAGGGCGTAGATGTACGGTTTAGGTAATTCGTAGTCTTAGTATCGGTCTGAGGCCTTAGTAGCTTCGCCCGAGTACTACTCCCGTAATCTTCATGTTTAGATTCGCTGTCGCTCGAGACCGACGTATAGTCTTGATGGTGGCGAGTATGTCGCGATGGTAGGTGTATACGAGGGAGTGCGGACGGCGTAGATAGAGTAGAGGGGGATCGATGGCTCGAGGACTAGGGTGCACCCGAATATAGGCGCGGTAAGGCGGTATAGTGGTGAATCTATCGCTAGCTGAGTGATGGTCTTTACGGTAGGCGTAGTGGTGTATCGAGGGGTTCGCGATATCTATGACTATTAGTGCGACGTGGGCTCTAAGTAGGGGATGGAGGTACTGGTTGTAGCCGCGGTAGGTGTTTAAGGTAGAGGGCTTGATGTTCGTTAATGTCGAGGGCGGTAACTTAGCGGGTAGTATCTGTAATATCCTGGACGAAATCTTAACCTTATATACGTAAGCTAGTAGCGGGTGAAGTAGGAGTAGGATTAGGAAAGTTAAAAGGGTGTTTAATAATGGATTCGATGGCTTATTATCCGGGAGCTGGTAGTTAGGTGGCTTCCTATCGTCGTCTCTGTCGAAGCCTCTACTAACGGATACGGTCTTACTGGCGTCGGCGCTAGGTAGATAGGTCTACCGTGTCGTCTGTCGATAGGGGTCTACCTCTCTTAGGTAGCCGTCTAGTACTAGACATAGTATTCTTCGTAATATATGTTATATTTTAGAGTTAAAGGAAAATGAAGTTAGTGAGGCGGTATATCTAAAGCTAATTAATTCGATCTAATTACTGAATTCGGGTACATCTATGATATCCGGAGCTTAATTAATATTCGTCTACGGGGTAATAGTAAGCTTTAAAGATAATATAGCCTTATAACGGGAATCCTATTCTACCTTTAGGCGATAACTAAGCTTATAATTTAGTCGTTTCGGTTAGATGGCTCGGAACTTCTTGTATACCGTTTTGATCGTAAGGTAGTGTAAGGCCGTACTAGCGCTCGATCCTGACTAGTTCCGCTATAGTAATAATGTAGAGGCTATCGTAGCGAAAGCCCGATATGGGCCTATCCTATACCTTTATCTATAAAATTTAGAGGTTTAGCCCTACCTATAGAGCGTCCACCTCTTTAATCTGTTTAAGAAGACCTTACCTACCCGCCGTAGGGCGTCTACCTCTTTAATCTATTTAAGAAGACCTTACCTACCCACTATAGAGCGTCTACCTCTTTAATCTATTTAAGAAGACCTTACTTACCCGCCGTTTAGTCCGGTGTATCTACGTACCACCTCTTTTTCCTTTATAGAAAGCATTAACGGTAGTATTCCATCTAGGCCGTTTAGTCCGGTATATCTACGCGCTACCTCTTTTTCCTTCATGGAAAGCATTGACGGTAAATAGTGCTCTATCTAGGCCGTTTAGTCCGGTAT